TTCCGACGGACGGACTGATGGAGCGATGGTGGGTGGGCAATGGCACTCTCGCCGCCTCCTCCCTCAGGTAACTTTGCTCGTTCGGTTGCGCACACAACATCTGTGACATGAGTGCACGCATGCCAGAGCGGAGGGAGCAGCCATGAGATTCATCCTTGCTTACCATCATACCATACCATGCCAAAGCTATCTGCTGGACTGGAGATTTGCATGAATGGGAGTTATCTCGATCCAACAATTGGCCGAAAGAATTGTTTTCATATTCTAGCTAGGCGCAGAAAAAGAAGCAAAAATCGAAACGAAAAGTATTTGTATTACAAAATGCTAAGAAATAAAAGGACTCAACGCCCTAGAATTAGTTTCTGAGGGGTAATTAGGAGTGAACTAATCAAGCGGGAAACTGGGGAGGATCATGAACTAAATGGACACGAAAATTTCGAGCTCAACAAAAAGCACACGGGCTAACCAAACGGAAGCAGAGAGATAACTGGGAAAATATAACTCCTAATAAGCAAACATTTGCAGTTCTTCCGATATTTCCGGCTCTTGGGGTTTTAGCTGCTTTTAATTATTATTTCTGGGCTAAACTGATCAGTTCTAACAGACTGACGACTCGTCTAGATGAGCTGCTGCCGGTAGTCTGCCGTCCCTAGGCGGTGGCGGATCAAGAAGTCGTCGCCGCCGCCGAGGATGGGCGGCGCCACCGGCCCATCGAACAGCAGGTGGCTCTCCATGTGCATTATCTTCCCGACGCCGCCGGCGACCGCGTGCTGCTGGAGCTGCGACGGCTGGTGGTGGTGGTGCATCTCCCTCTGGCGGCGGAGCTCGAGCACCTTGCGGTGGGAGTTGGAGTGCCTCGACGTCACGAACGTCGGGCTCGCGGCCGGGCGGTACTCCGGCACCAGCCGCCCCGACTTGTAGCGCACCCCGCACGCGTTGCACAGCGTCTTGGGGCCCATGGGCCCCGTCCTCCACTGCGGCGTCTTGTCTGTCTCGCAGTGCAGGCACCGCCGACCTTCGTTGGCCGCCGCCGTGACGCCCGAAGGCGCTGTGGGCGCGCTCACCGACTGAGTCTGAGCCTGTGCCTGCGCCTGCGGCGGCACCTCCTTCTTCTTGGCCGGCTTGGAAGGCTTCTTGACATGGAACGCCTGGGCTGAGACGCCAGACTCCGCCGGCGAGATGGCCATGGACGCCGGGGACGGCGGGGAGGCCGGGGCCGGCGGGAGAACGAGCAGGCGGGACGACCAGTTGCCCGGCGCAACGCGGGAGCGCTTGCTACGGGCCTTGGCGGGGACGGGGCCCTCCGGCAGGAACACGCCGGGCTGCGCCGTGGCAGCGGTGGCCGCCGGAGCAGGCGGCCCGTTCGCCGAGGGGAAGCCGCCGGAGGGGATGCCAGAGATGAGCTGCAGCTTGTGTAGGTCCTCCGTGGCGAAGCTCTCCTCGCCCTCGCCCATGTAGTTGGACAGCCATTCCAGCTCCGCCAGCTGATCGTACTGCGCACAATTCACATCAAGTTTGATTAGCAACAGCTCATGCATGCGTGTTCAGTAATTTGCTTCGTTTCGAGAACTCCATAATTGTTAAGCTAAAAACTTGGAAAGCCACTCGAATTCTTGTGCGCATACGGAAGCGTCCAGCTAGCGCTGAACGCGAAAGCTGCTATTTTTGGTAGTGTGCAGTGCCGTTTACGCGTGGCAGCTGTTTCCTATTTCGGTTACTCTCTCTGCGAGAGAAAACTGCATTCATGCGTAATTGTGGAGGATATTTTTTGGAGTGGTTTAATTGCGGACTATTTATCGTGAAATCACTCTTAAATATCCGTATATGCATTTTTCCATGAATTTGCCTCGTGTAAATGGAAGAGATTAATAAGGACGGAAAAAACGTAAAGTCGTTCAGTTAATTAGCGGAGAAGAATTCCGACGAACAATTGATGATGCGATACGAAAAAGGAGCACAACAGAAGGATGGATGGAGAATTTACCGGCTCGCAGAGGCCGCCGGAGAAGTCGCCGTCGGCGAGGCCGGAGAAGGAGTTGCTGCAGCTGTCGAGGGCCGTGACGGTGGACGAGTCGGCCGACGCGTTCCCGAACCCGGCCTCCTGCTTGACGACGACTGCGGCGGCGGAGGCGGCGTTGGCCGGCAGGAACGGCGCGTCGCCCACCCCTTCCTCCTCCTCCTCCTCGTCGTCGCACGGCAGCGCGAGGAGGTCGTCGACGACGAAGAGGTCGGAGCCCTTCTTGTCGCGGGCGTAGTAGTCGGGCGCCGTGGCCTCCATGGCCGCCGCGAGAGCGGTGGACGCACGCAACGATTCTATCTGCGGCGCTGCGTTGCTCGGCGCTTTTTTGTTTGGTTTTGTACGTGGGCTGCGCGAGGGGGGCGGAGATAACGCGAGGGGGGCGAGAGGAGGAGTGCTGGTAGCAGGAGTAGTAGGGTTTAATTGGCGTGGAGCTGAGGAGAGGTCAGCTGTAGGGAACGATTCTTAAGGAGTAAATAAAGCCAAGAGCAGCGAGAGCCACAGAGGCATGCACCACCAACAGTGCCCCCCGCCCCACCCTCCGGCCCCGCCCCCGCCCCCGGCCTAGCCAGCACGGACCCTTTTTATCCGAGCAGTAAAACTTATCGGGTTCCAAAGTTACTTGGTAGTAATCCCAGGCCCAGCAACCTGTTTTACGGTTTATCCTCGGCTCCGCCAAGCATATTCTTTGCTGCCTGCGCCGCGCGCGTCGTGCGAGGCAGCCACTGCTGGCTACAACCGCGGCCCGCGGCTGGACTGGAGTTTCACGTCGCGTCTGGCGACGCAGGTGGATTTTGTGGGGTGCCGTCAGGTCACGTGGGGGTAATTCTCTCTCTTTGCTTCAGGGTTGATCGGGATTGCCGTTCGCCCGTCTCCTTGGAACCTGCTGCGAAGCTTCCTTTTTTCACCGTACGGGGAAGGTTTGCCGTCCAGAAAGAGGAGTTCAAATCGTAAGCTAGCTCGGAGGGTACTCGCGTCGCAAACTGCTCCGTTAGACCAGCGGCGGTTTTACTTGCCAACTCAACTGAACTTTGGGAAACGGTGAGCAAGAGGAAGTAGCAGGCTGTTATGAAATGAATGGATGGAAAGGGGAGGTTGTTATAGGAGGCTAGGTGGATACAAACTCTTGCTCTTGCAAGGCCTTTTCATCTTTGGAATGCAGGTAATTCGGCGAATTAAGGGCATCTCCACTTTCTAGGGCTTTTGGGGTACTTTGACGACATACCGCTTATGCAAGTTGGTCTTGACTCTCACCTGATGAGAAGGAAGTAGGATTTCTGTGTCCGCCGTCAAACCCTAAGGAGGAAACTATAGTGGTATTCGTGGTACTAGGCGATTTAACAGAGGGTTGACAGATAACTATTAGTATAGGACAAGGGAGTTGGATGATGATAGATATAGGAACCCTAATTTCAGAGGTGAAGGTTTTGAGTAGAGGAATAGAGATGGTGGAGTTAATAAGAATCAGGGTCCCAAGATCTTCAATGGTCTACTTTTGCTTAGGGGGCTACGCGGTCTGTCAATCAGATCTCTCAGGATCAGAGAGGTATTGGGGACACATGTATTTCTTCTCAGGTGTTTGTTGCTCATGATTTAGGATCAAACAATAAGATGATTCATGATCTGATGCAACAACAGTTGTGGTTCGGAGCGCCTCTTCCATGCTGCCAAGTTCTTCTAAGTCAGGAGGTGGGGTGTTAGATTCTGCTGGTGGTGAGAAAGGAAAGGGAGCTATGGATTCCTCTGCTGGTGGAAGTGCTGAGACTGCCTTTACTTCTGGGAAGATTGTTGGCAAGAGTAGTTTTTGAAGGAAATATGCCCTAGAGGCAATGATAAAGTTGTTATTTATATTTCCTTATATCATGGTAAATGTTTATTATTCATGCTAGAATTGTATTGACCGGAAACTTAGTACATGTGTGAATACATAGACAAAATAGAGTGTCCCTAGTATGCCTCTACTTGACTAGCTCGTTAATCAAAGATGGTTAAGTTTCCTGACCATAGACATGTGTTGTCATTTGATGAACGGGATCACATCATTAGAGAATGATGTGATGGACAAGCCCCATCCGTTAGCTTAGCATAAATGATTGTTTAGTTTTATTCCTATTGCTTTCATCATGACTTATACATGTTCCTCTGACTATGAGATTATGCAACTCCCGAATATCGAAGGAACACCTTATGTGCTATCAAACGTCACAACGTAACTAGGTGATTATAAAGATGCTCTACAGGTGTCTCCGATGGTGTTTGTTGAGTTGGCATAGATCGAGATTATGATTTGTCACTCCGTGTATCGGAGAGGTATCTCTGAGCCCTCTCGGTAATGCACGTCACTATAAGCCTTGCAAGTAATGTGACTAATGAGTTAGTTGCGGGATGATGCATTATTAAATGAGTAAAGAGACTTGCCGGTAACGAGATTGAACTAGGTATGATGATATCGATGATCGAATCTCGGGAAAGTAACATACCAATGACAAAGAGAACAACGTATATTGTTGTGCGGTTTGACCGATAAAGATCTTCGTAGAATATGTAGGAGCCAATATGAGCATCCAGGTTCCGCTATTGGTTATTGACCGGAGATGTGTCTCGGTCATGTCTACACAGTTCTCGAACCCGTAGGGTCCGCACGCTTAAAGTTCGATGACGATTTGTATTATGAGTTATTTGATTTGATGACCGAAGTTTGTTCAGAGTCCCGGATGAGATCACGGACATGACGAAGAGTCTCGAAGTGGTCGAGACGTAAAGATCGATATATTGGAAGGCTATATTCGGACATCGGAAAGGTTCTGAGTGGTTCGGGTATTTTTCGGAGTACCGGAGAGTTACGGGAATTCGCCGGGAGAAGTATTGGGCATTCATGGGCCTTAGTGGAAAGGAGAGAAGGGCCACAAGGGGAGGCCGCGCGCCCCCTCATGGGCTGGTCCGAATTGGACTAGGGAGGGGGCGGCGCCCCCCTCTTTCCTTCTCCCTCTCCTCTCCTTCCTTCTTCTCCTACTTGGGCTAGGAAAGGGGGAAACCTACTCCTACTAGGAGTAGGGATCCCCCCTTTGGGCGCGCCCCTTGTGGCCGGTCCTTCACCTCCTCCCCTCCTTTATATACGAGGTAGGGGGCACCCCATAGACACACAAGTTGATCTTTAGCCGTGGGCGGTGCCCCCCTTCACAGTTTTCCACCTCGGTCATATTGTCGTAGTGCTTAGGCGAAGCCCTGCGTCGGTAACTTTATCATCACCGTCAACACGCCGGCGTGCTGATGAAACTCACCCTCGTCCTCAACTGGATCAAGAGTACGAGGGACGTCTCCGAGCTGAACATGTGCAGATCATGGAGGTGCCGTGCGTTCGGTACTTGATCGGTTGGACCGCGAAGACGTTCGACTACATCAATCGCGTTACTCAACGCTTCCACTTTCGATCTACGAGGGTACGTAGACACACTCTCCCCTCTTGTTGCTATGCATCTCCTAGATAGATCTTGTGTGATCGTAGGAATTTTTTTTAAAATACTGCGTTCCCCAACAGTGGTATCAGAGCCAGGTTTATGTGCAGATGTTATATGCACGAGTAGAACACAAAGGAGTTGTGGGTGTGGGTATATACATATTGCTTGTCGTCATTATTTGTTTCTTGATTCGGCGGTATTGTTGGATGAAGCGGCCCGGACCTACATTACATGACCGCGTTCATGAGACTGGTTCTATCGATGTGCTTTGCACACAAGTGGCTAGCGGGTGTCTGTTTCTCCAACTTTAGTTGAATCGGATTCAATGAACATGGTTCTTTCTGAAGATCAAAAGGCAATCACTATACCACCACTACAAAAAATACACTTTCATGATGATACGTGTTTGTCACAGTAGGTCACGTTTTCTGTCATGCATGTACATCCATGACAAATTTATGACAGAATCAAGATAGTCATACATGTGTTGTCGTAGAAGTGCTCCATGACATCACCAAAATTATCATCACGGAAGTGTCCACTTTCATGACGATAAATCGCGCGTCATGAAAGTGCTTTCGTTAAGGATGACCGACACGTGACATCCACCGTAACGGAACGCCGTTAAGCTATCGGGTCCGTTTTTTAATCTGATAACCCGTTAACAGCCCGGACCAATGGTGATTTTCCACGTGTAAAATTCTCATTGGCCGGAGGAAACACGTGTCTGCTCCTCGGTGTGCTAGATATCGCCCGTCCATTGGAGGAGACATGCCTATGATACGTCGACATGTGGCAGGGCCCAACAAAGGCCCATATAGGTTCAAAAGGCCAGCCCAGTCAAAGGCCTGTAGTACTTACTCAGGTACTAGTGGGCTAGCCCAATAACGACCTGTTTAATAAAGGCCTATTTATGGCCTGAAGCTAGATCTAGCCCGTTAATTGTTCGCCGAATATTTGGGCCCAATTACAGCCCAGTGAATTTTGGCCTGTTAGAGGCCCGATGTAGACATGGACCCATTTTAGCCTGGTGTGTATTTCGGCCTGGGAATGGCCCGTGCTGCCCATGGGCCATATATAGTCCGACGCGACATCAGGCCCACTAACGGCCCATGATAAAGGTGGCAATAGTTCAGCCCAACGTGACTTTGGGCCTGTTAAAGGCCTGTCGTATAATTCGGCCCGTTGATGCATGTACTAAGCTTTCAGCCTCTTAAAGGCCCATGATATCAGTGGGCCAACTAAGGTCCAAGATATGTTTCGTCCTGGTAATGGCTCGTCATATAACTGGCCCAAAAAAGGCCTGATCTACATTTCAGCCTGCTGAAGGCCCGTCGACGACTAGTGAAAATTGAGGCCCAACATGCATTTCGGCCTGCTAAAGGCCCATGGTTTCTTCTGGGCCGTAACAGGCTAGTAGAATATTCTGCCTGTTAATGGCCCAACGCTACCTAGGACAATCTAAGCACTGGGTCCACAGAAGGACCAACTAAAATTTGGGCCGAATATAGGCCGGAGTAAGTTGTGGGCCTGGCGCAAAGTGTGAAGGCCCCAATGGCCATTCGGGCCCAAGAAAGATGCAGGCCGGCCCAATTGTGGCCCGCTAAAAAACAGGCTCGTTAGAGGCGAATGTTTTGGCCCGGTCGACTACATCAGATTTTTTTCAGATAGCGAATGATGGCAGTAACCAGTAGGAATTAAGAACAAACCTACTCTATACAATAAAGAAATTACAACATAGTAACTTAGAATAAACCTACACTATACAATAAAGGATCTATGGTATATTACATCCACTGGGCA